TAAGGACTATTTTTAGTATCAGATTTAGGACTTGTTTGAGGATTAATTAGCCGCGTGAAGCTAGCAGACCGACACCGGTCCGCAGCCACATATATTCAGCTGTCACGTGTGGCTGCGGGCCGCTGCTGGTCTGGTAGCTTCATGCGGCTGGGATTAATTTTTGGATCAGAGTAAGGTTTTGTTTTAGAGTAAGTTTTAGAATCATATCGAAGTCTTATGTCAGGGCTGGTTTTAGGATCAGATTGATACTTATTTCAGAACTTGTTTTCTGATTAGATTGAAGACTTTTTTGAAGTCTTGCGTTTTGGTCAAGTTAAGGAATTATTTGAAGACTAGTTTTAGGCTCATATTAAGGATTTCTTTGAGGACTAGTTTTTTAGATCAGATTGTGGTCTTGTTTGAAGACTATTTTTTGGATTAGATTGAGGACTTATTTGAGCCTAGTTTTAGGATCAGATTAAGAACTAGTTTTATGATTAAAACTAGTCCTCAATCATGTCCTAGATATGATCCTAAAACAAGTCCTTATTTAAGTCCTAGATGTGATTCTAAAACTAGTCCGCAAACAAGTCCTAAATCTGATCCTAAAACTAGTCCTCAACCAAGTCCTCAATCTGATCCTAAAACAAATCCTGCATTAAGTCCTAGATATAATCCTAAAACTTGTCCTAAAACAAGTCCTCAATCTGATCCCAAAACGAATCATGCATTATGTCCTAGGTAAAATTTGTAAAGTTAACACAATAATGGAATAAAATAAAAGTACAATTGCGAGATATAACATTCTAAGACACTCTAGAGTGATTGAGAAAATAACAATTAAATAAAAAAAGATATCGACAATATCCTTCGTCAGACGAGAGTCAATACTATGTAGAAGACAACCATATTTTGTTTTTTTTTATTAGATCACCCAGACGTGAGATTTCATGTACACCGTTTGTGCACCTAAAAAAGGACAGGTTTGCGCTTGAAGGAGTGCCACGACGGCAATTTTGAATATTTCGACTTAATTTTTTTTTAAATACTTGAATATATAATAGAGATGACGGTATAACTTAATTTACTGTACCAGTCATATTTTGTTAGAAAAAAAATCCGCAAAAATCGGCCTGTTTTTTCACTTGTCACAGTAAACTTCCCCCATAAGATAATATCCGTGAGACAACCAACAAACCAAAGACGTCTGTCACTCGCACGCTGAGGCAACTCAGCCTTAACCTATATGGTGTTATGTGTTCCTCAATTTTTAAATTAAATATAAATCTCACGCAAGAATTAAGTAGCTTCTCAAGTTTATGATTTAATTCTTCAGTTAAAACATTATATATAGCACAGCAGTAATCAAAATGGGGAAAAATAGGGAAAGTTTCCGAAGTGATTTCCGTAAAAAAATCAATTTTCGGAAAGTTTTCAAAGTGATTTCCGTAAAAAAATAATTTCGGTGTACCTTTGGTTGCATTTATCAATAAATTGAGAAATCATATTATCACGACTGTGTGAATTATATGCCAGCGTTTGCATTTGATTGTTATTAATACCTTTAGTACGAAAAGGATTTTCCCGTTTAAATAAATAAATAAATTTCCGGAAGTTTTTCGGATGATTTCCGTAAAAAAATCAATTTCCGAAAAGTTTCCGAAGTGAAGTCCATAAAAAAATCAATTTCCGGAAGATTTTCGGAAGATTTCCGATGTGATTTCCGTAAAAAAAATCAATTTACAAAAAATTCCGGAAAGTTTCCGAAGTGATTTCCGTTAAAAAAAATAAATTTCCGGAAAGTTTCCGGATTATTTCCGTAAAAAAAATAAATTTTCGGAAAGTTTCAGGAAGATTTCCGTACAAAAAAAATGAATTTAGAATTTTTTAGAATTAGAATTTCTTTATTTTGTCCTAGGAAATCCAAAAAGACAAGCATTAAAAATACAGTAAAAGAAAACGTACAATTCATAAATCATGTGACAAAAAGAATACTTTAAATTAATCTTTAACAAAACAAAAATAACAATTGGAAAATTTGTATAGTTAACACAATAATACAACAAAATAAAAGTACACTCTAGAGTGATTGAGAAAATATATGTTTATATACAATACTGTTTTGAATGTTTTTAGACAACTGATACTCGTTATAGAGGAAGGAAGAGAGTTCCACTGATTATTGCAGTTACAATAAAATTTCTTTAATACCATTCAGTTCTACAGAGTGGAATTCTAAGCATATTAGCACATCTCAATTCTCTAGTAGTAATTTAATCTCTAAAAGTAAATTTTTCATACAAATAGGAAGGTTTTTTAGTTTTTAAGATAACATGCGTGCGACAACCAACAAACCAAAGACGCCTGTCACTCACGCTAAGCCAACCCAGCCTTAACCTATATGATGTTATGTGTTCCTCAATTTTTAAATTGAATATAAATCTCACACAAGAATTTAGTAGTTTCTCAAGTTTATGATTTAATTCTTCAGTTAAATCATTATATACAGCACAGCAGTAATCAAAATGATTTCCGGATGATTTCCGTAGAAAAAAATAAATTTCCGGAAAGTTTCCGGATGATTTCCGCAAAACTAAATAAATTTCCGGAAATTTTCCGGAAGATTTTCGTACAAAAAAAATAAATTTTCGGAAATTTTCCGGAAGATTTTCGTAAAAAAAATAAATTTTCGGAAATTTTCCGGAAGATTTCCGTAAAAAAAATAAATTTCCGGAAATTTTCCGGAAAATTTCACTGTGTGACAAAATAAAAAAAGTTGCCTGCACTTTTATAGAGACCTAGTATAAGTTGTAGGTCTAGTAAAATTATGAACAATGATGTGTGAGAAATTTCCCGAACACCCCCAAAATTTAATTTTAGGGGCAAAAAACCGTTTTTTGCTTATTCATGTAAAGAATTACTCGTAACTTCCGTAATTTTTAACCGATTTTCAAAATTGCTCTTTTATTTTAAAGGGAAAAAGCACACCTTTTTAATCGTGTATTGCTCGTTTACTCAAAATAAAAATTGACAAAACCGCAGTTGAAAATATTTGCGATTTATCGATTTTTATTCAATTTTTTCAACTTTAACGAGGTTTTTAGAATAGTATTCGAATTTACAGATTTTTTCATAATAATTTCTTAAAAGTATATTTAATTCTGCGTAAAATGAGTATTTTTTTGAAAAAATTTTAATACAAATTGAGGAAGATACGTGAATTTTAAGATTTAAAAATTTTTTCTCCAAAGTTACAAATATTCCAATTTTGCTGTGGAATTTACATCAGGGCACTTTAAATTTTGTGTTCACTAAATTTAATTGATTAACTAAAACGGCATGCATGTCAAACTTGTTTTTGATAGAATTAAATAAAGAAAGAGTCCGTATTTAGAGAGGGGGGTCCGGATAAATTTTAACTTTTCTATAATTTATATTGTTTAAGTTTGTCAATGTTTTTCAAACATTATTTATGATTCAAATCTATTCCATATTATCAAAATTAATAAAATTGTTCAGGACTCTGTCTTTATTTAAATCTATCAAAAACAACTTTGATATGCATGCCGTTTTAGTTAAACAATTAAATTTAGTAAACACAAAATTTAAAGTGCCCTGATGTAAATTCCACAGCAAAATGGAAATATTTGTAACTTTAGGAAAAAAATTTTTAAATCTTAAAATTAACGTATCTCCCTCAATTTGTATTAAAATTTTTTCAAAAAATACTTATTTTACGCAGAATTAAGTATACTTTTAAGAAATTATTATGAAAAAAATCTGTAAATTCGAATACTATTCTAAAAACCTCTTTGAAGTTGAAAAAATGGAATGAAAAACGATAAATCGCAAATGTTTTCAACTGCGGTTTTGTTAATTTTTATTTTGAGTAAACGAGCAATACAAGGTTAAAAAGGTGTGCTTTTCCTCTTTAAAATAAAAGAACAATTTTAAAAATCAGTTAAAAATTACGGAAGTTACGAGTAATTCTTTACATGAATACACCAAAAACGGTTTTTTTCCCAAAAAATTAAATTTTGAAGGTTTTTGGAAAATTTCAAACATACTACTTTTTTAGTTTTTCAAGACGAAAAAGTTAGGATAGGTCCGATTTGAAGTGCCATTTTTCTATCACACAGTGTTTCCGGAAGATTTCCGTAAAAAAAATAAATTTCCGCAAATTTTCCAAAATATTTCCGTACAAAAAAAAAAAATTTCCGGAAATTTTCCGGAAACCCTTCCACATGGAGAAACATGTAGAAACATTTCTAATTAAAATAGGAAATATTAACAATAAATTTGAAAAAAATTCTGACTGTAATTAAGGAATAATTCACTGTAAAATTATAGTAAATACTGTTGTAAATTTACATAAAAAATAATGTAAATTTACATTATCGCCTTGTAAATTCTCAAAATTTGATAGTAATTATGGAGAAATAAATACTGTGAATTTACAGAACTCCACAGAGAATTAGTTAGAATTAGTTAGTAGTAGTATAACCCCTTAAGAAACGGCAAAGAGCCGGTCAATGATGAAATACCAAGAATTGTAAATAACAGTTGAAAAACGAAGCAATTTTTTTGTAGTTTTAATATTGTATTTTAAGATGCAAAAAACGTTTTTAATATTTCAAATAAAATGATTGTTAAAAAAACAGTAAAGTGAGGCCTATTTTTGCCTTCGCAAACGCAAGTACCTATACTGTAAAAGATTTTCGTGTAAAAATTTTCGAGTTAAATATCAACTCCCACAAAAAGTTATTTTAGTAACTTTTTACTTTTACCAAGAGTGAAAAAGGGGTGTTAAGCATCAACTACCACGTGAGTTATTTTGTCATTTTTTTGGTGTTTATACCTTAAAAAGTAAGCATAGAGATTTAAAGTTTTAAGTCCCTTCATCCAACTATATGTATCTTCACTTTAACTCCCCATTGGGTGCGAGTTTTATAGAATCCCCAGATGAGTTAAAATTTAACTCCCTTTTTTACAGTGTATTTCCAATAATAAAATAGAAACGATTGATGTATTTATATTTATTTCATTAATTATGCTCACAAATAATTGAAAACTTTAACAAATTTATATGTTTCCATCGTGAAATTTGTAGTTTCAAGGTCATGCTGCTGCTCCATATCCATTTGCCCTTTCTAGTGCAGCTTTAGCTAAATTGAAAAGTGTGCAATAATTCTTATTAATAATGTTGTGCAACTTTAAATAAATTTTTTTAATTAATCTTTACTGGTTTGATGATTTTTATTTCTTTCTTAATATTTTAATATTTAAATAAATATAATTTTTAAATATTTAATATTAAAATATACTTATGAAGCTGAAACTTGCACCCAGTTATCAGCGACCACTTAAATTTGATAATTAAATTTTAAAGTTAAATATTTTTTAAAAAGCTTTAACTGGCACTCAGTTTTAAGCACACAAAAAAATTTTTCAAAATTTGATGTTGGTATTAAAAAATATATATTTAACTTTAAAATTCAATTTTTAAAATTAAGTCATTGCTGACAACTGGGTATCGGTTTCACCTTCATAATGTATTTTAATATTTAATTTAAATATTTACTTCTTTTTATTCGTTTTATACTTTTTTCTGATGCCTAAAAAATCCATTTTCCATTTATTATGAAAAATTTAAAAGAATATTTTAATTTTTATTTGAAATTTTTGTAGCAAATATAATAATATTACAGTCGGGTCCCCATACTGTTAAATTCCAAACTGTTATGTCCTCAGTAGTGTTATGTTTTTGCATAACCTCCAAATTCAGAAGTGTTAGGTGACGTCACGTTACGTCACTAATTTTCAGGGCCGTATTCTTAAGACAAAGGAAAAGGGTGCATATACTTCTAGGCCAAACTTGAGGTGTATATATTTACGTTCCTAAAAGGTGCGCAGTAAGCATAATTTGAGCACATAACAGAGCTGAGTCTGGAGAAGTGGGAAATTTCTGAAAATGTAACAGTATGGGGACCCGACTGTAATTCGTTTTATTTTTAATACTTTTGCAAATATTATTTGAAAACTTACCTGCTCCTGCGCCTGCCTCAATTGTAGTCCAGCAAATAATGAATACTGCTGCTACAAATACAGTTGAAAGGAATTTCATTGTTACTTTTGTTTTACGATTACAGTTTGCAAACAATTTGTAGAATGTAACTTTTCGCCTATTTTCGCCTTTTTATACTAGGGATAATCACTCGAAACTTATTAATGTTACTATTTATCAACCTTCTCATTGACTTATCTGTATTCGTCATGGAAAGACACGTTTAGACCGGTTATTATTTTTAAAGGTCCAGTTTCATAGTTACATTTGTTATCAAGTTTATCACTAAACATTTTTTTAAAAAAATTATATTTTTTATGAAGAATTAAGGATTTACGCTTTAACTAGCATGGCGGGAAATTTGCATCATCACCTAATATCGTTGGTTATATATCATAGAAGGAGTTTACACCGTAAGCCTTAAATATAAGCCTCCGCGAGCATAAACGGATATGCCTCCATGAGGATATACTTGCGTCTGCGCAAAGTGTTTGCCTGCAGCTGTGTTGTGAAAGAGTTTGCCTTGACCACGTGTTCGCGCAGGCGCAAATATATGCTCCTGGAGGTATATCTGTTTATGCGCGCAGAGGCTTATATTTAAGGCTTACGGTGTAAACTCCTTCATACACTGTAAAAAAAAGGAGTTAAATTTTAACTCCCCAGGGGATTCTATAAAAGTCGCACCCATTGGGGAGGTAATGCCAGGGGAGTTAAATAAACAGAGTTAAAACTTCACACCAAAATGCTAACTCCCCAAGGAAAAAATAACTCGCGCGGGTGTTGAATGAAGGGAGTTAGAAATTAACTCTCTTTTGGAGTTGATTTTTAACTCGAAAAATTTCACTCCCAACTCCCGAGTCCGTTAACTCCCTAAATTTTTTACAGTGAATGTACGATAGTTTCGTGTTTCTGCACACGTATTGCAATTACTGGAATCACATAGAATTCTGACAGCTGAACGAAGTCCAGGGTTTGTCGCTATCATCTGTGATTCCGTTCTGCATCATATAATTCAAAGAACGTTGGTCCATGCTGTGCAGTATCAGCATTTAATGCTTCGAAAATATTATCGGTAAAATAATATATTTCCCGGTATACGTGTACCAATTCTTAATAAGTATTAGTGGCGATAATGTTCGATCGGAAAACAATTACCCAAGGAGAAAAGTTTTCTTACAAAACACTTACTTACAAAAACTTGCAATTTAACCTTCGCGCTCCGGAGCGGTCACCCGGGGTGACCAAACAATGAAAAAAGTTGTAAATCTGCTCGACTTTTGCATCAATCGAATGGCGATTTTAAGTCACTGAGCAAAATTTTATCTACTTTCGAAAAATAAAAAAATTATAAAGAAATACAAATTTTAGAAAATTATTTAATATACCATTCAAAAGATTATTAAATTCAACGATTAATGATACATAAATGAAAATTTTTGTAATTTATACAAAGATTGCAGCAATCGACAAAAAATGAAAAAAATAAATTTTTTTAAAAAAATATTTCAACCCTTGCATATTCCTTAAAAATTGTAGGAAAATTTTGAAACTTATACAGGTATGATTATTGTTTAAGCCTTATCTTTAATTTAAGACCAAAAGAGTTAACAAAATCTTATTCGGTTCGTGAGATATCTTTCTAAACGTCCGAGCATGTTTTTTGACAAATACATTGGATTAGTCGATTTTTAACGGTTTTTGGCTGAAAATGCTTGGCCGATTATAATGATATCTCACGAACCAAATAAGATTTTTAACTCTTTTGGTCTTAAATTAAAGATGAGACTTGAATGATAACACCTATGTAAGCTTCAAATTTTTCCTACAATTTTTAAAAAATATGCATGGGTTGAAATAATTTCAAAAAAAATGTATTTAAAAAATTTTTTTGTCAACTTTGTCGATTGTTACAATCTTTTTATAAATCATAAAAATTTTTAGTTATGTATAATTAATCGCAGAATTTAACAACCTTTAAATTGGTATATTTATTAATTTTCTAACATTTGTATTTACAAAGAAATCGTGATTTAAAGATTGGTATGTTTTCGGGCCCTGCGCGTGCAGCCGTACCGACAATTCCCGACGGTAGTGTACGAGGCTACTGAAAATTGCCCGGGAGTTTGTTTTGTATATTGCGAAAAAATTAAATCATCAAAGTTTTACAGTAAAATTGTTTTTTATCAATAAATACAATATATTTTGATGTTACAATAAATTTTTTATTTGTTTAAACAAATTATTGTTGTTATTTACAAACTTTGTACGGAATGCACCTAGAAAGTTGTAGTTTTTTCCTAATTTTGCAATTTACTAAACCTTAAATGATTACAGATTAGAATTTATAAACAAATTATTAATTTACGAAAAAACATCTTTTGCTTAATCAAAAAAAATGTTCTGTTATTTCTTTCTCGAAGAAATCTATAATTTTGAGACATCGATATAATATTGATTCAACTGAACTTAATAGAGTGGGTCGGGTGCGTGATCTGGGTGTAATCATGTCTGAATCTTTTTCTTTTGCTTATCATATTGATTGTACAGTAAACACAGCTGTCAAAACACTTGGTTTCATCATAAGAAACGCATCCGATTTTAGAAATGCTTCGACAATTAAACTTTTATATTTTTCACTAGTTCGATCATTGGTAGACTTTGCTTCTCTGACATGGTCTCCATATTACAATGTGGATTGGGTCAGAATTGAAAGGGTACAGAACAGGTTTTTGAGATTTTCGGCACGAAGACTGAGACTCCCCTATGATTACTTTGGTCATGACTATACCAATTTGCGTGAGATTTTGAACATACCAACAATTAAATTCAGATTCTTATACATTGATTTATTGTTTTTATATAATATTCTTAATGGGAAAATTGATTATCCTTCGATTTTATCAAGCATTAAATTCGCAGTTCCAATTAGGTCTACAAGAAATTGCTCTTTTTTTAACTTAAAATTTCATAGAACCAATTATAGCCTAAATGCTGTTTTTTATAGGCAGTGTAAAGAGGGAAATGATGTTGTAAAGAATTATGATATCGACTTTTTTAATACTTCCGAATTTAGCTTTAAGTTACAGTTGCGGAGAATTCTCTTCTCAAATTATTGTTACCCAGTGTGCACGTACTATAACTGTTCTAGACCAAAAAACGAACAGTGTTCTAGAACAAGTGTTACAATTTTATTGTAGAACAGTTCTAGAGCTTTGTTCTAAATTTGTTCTGGAGCAGTTGTTCTGTATCTGTTCTATAACAGACATGTAACATTTGTTCTAAATTAGTTATAGAATTTTGAAGTAACATTGTTCCTACAGTGTTCTAGAACACTGTTACAAAAATTTAATATAACTGTTCTTTCACTGTAAACTCGTGTTTATTTTCACTACACGGAAAAATGTTATTATTAAATTTTATAAAAGTATTTTACAAGTGTAGGACAAAATGCTACAAAGGAAAATTTTGCTATCAACAAAACTAACCCAGTAAATCTTCATTTATTATGATCGGTCTTAAATTCAGCACTGTCTGCTATAATGTTAAAGGATTCAAAAATGTTGTATCCTAATTTAAGGCTGCTTTTCTGCTTTAAAATAAGACTTTCTTTTTACTGTAAAACTTTAACAAAACGTAAGGGAAGAGTTCCGGTTGTGGGCACCCTTTTGTTTTTGCCTCATAACATTTGTCCATGTGCATATTATACAAATATATGTGTACGAATTTAAAGCTAGAGGTCTAAGATGACTGTCAGTGAAGGAATTAAATTGATTCCTTTAAATAAAAAAGTTTTATTAGAAATTTAGTGAAATGGAAATTTTTTGACAAAAAAATTTTTGTACCCGGTTGTGGGCACCCTTGAAAAATCCGCTAAAAATGAAAAAATATTAAAGGAAACCATTACAAATAAAGAAGAAATTAAAGTTTCTTTATTTTAAGAGACTTTGCCGGGATAAAGAACAAAAATGATGACACGTTTTCACACTATGCTCATCGCTAACAAAAGTATAATGCTTGCATGTGAAGTAGCTAGTACGCATACCATGACGCACTTCTAATGCACTGATCGACTATATTCATCGCATTTAATGGAGTTTGCGGCTGTCACTTTCCTTGGCAGAAAGTTTAGATAGATGAGACAGTAGTCCACATCATTGTCAGATGGTAGAGCCTCCTTAACATAAAGGTGCCCACAACCGGGAATGACAGTCATTTTTTAAAAAGATCAACACTGCAAAAAAAAAATTAAACCCTTTTTTCTGAACGAATCTACACCCATATGTTGCTCTTCGAAAACAATACAAAATTACTTTTTTATTTATTTAATGCAAATTTTCTTTATTATGCTCACAGCTATTACACAAATGCATATATTTGTTTCGATATCAATACGAAAAGACCGTATTGTCAACGAACACGAGTTGCAATACTTAGATCAGTAAAATCTTCTTGCTGTCAAAGTTTACGTAGGGGTGCCCACAACCGGCGCACTTCCCCTACCTATATAAAATTTAGTAAAGTTATAGTAAAATTTGTTAAAAGTTTTCGATATTTGATATAACGTTACTAAATATAGTATAATTTTTATTAAAGTTTAATAGGGTAATGTCACATTGAGTGGACCGCCACTTTGAGTGGACCACCTGAGTTTTTAAGTTATCTGACAGCGGAAACGTGAAATAAATAAAACGAATAGCAACACCGCATCTAGAAACCGTAAGAATTTATGTTCCGCAATAATCATATACGTTATTGTTTGATGTAACGCATTTTTAAGAACACAAACCAAAAAAGAAGTCGCTCTTACAATGAGTAAAGTGATTCGGAAGTGTAAAAGTAGTGTAAAATTTAAGTTTTAAAAGGCGTTCCTGCCCATTTTCCCGAATGAGAGTTCCCGAATGACGATTTTCCCGAATAACTATTTTCCCGAATCTATTTTCCCGAATTATTTTTTTCCCGAATAATTAATTTCCCGAATTATTTTTCTCCCGAATAATTTATTTCTCGAAAAATTTTTTCACGAATTACCTTTTTTTGAATTATTGTATTCGTAAGAATTACAAAAATTAATTTTTTACGGTCGTTGCTATGGTAACATTAAACCTATTTATATTATTAATTACTATTGTTTTAGACGTCAATTTTTGCTTTTTTGGAAGTTATAAGAATAATATTTTAAAAAT